AAAATCTATTAGCATACAAGTGTTCATTTTCAAATCGGGATCGAGATCCCTCCGATACAGATTCGTTTGATTCGGATTCGTTTCATTTTCAGAAACATCTCTAAAACGGACCATCTTTCCGTCAAGACAAAACTATAGTCAGAAAGAAATACATAATAAATCTAGGAAAATATCCAAAATTGTTTGAACATCTTTATCCTGCCAGTAATAAAACGGTTCCCCCTTAAAGCAATTGACAGATTACGGTAAGACGCGCCATAGGCCGAGTTAGAAATACGTTACTTCAATTCTATTCAGTTTCTCACATTGTGTAATTAAGGAATAACTCTAGTTTTTTTTTAATTTTATGATGTGATAAATGTTTACTCGCGTGATAATTTGCAAAAACGTTGAAGGCGTTTATGCGTAACATTATCATGCGAGCAAACTGATTGATCATCATCATAAAGGTTAAAAAAAAAGAAAGTTTTTCCTCATATTTACATTTACACACAGCGAGAACGCATGGAGTTCTGTAACGTGCTGAGCAAATCGCTTCATAAGGTTATAAAAATATTACCTTATTTGTAGTTTTATCCAGGGTTGGGGTCAATTACTTTGAAATGTAATTAATTATTTTCAAATACATTGAAAAAAATTGTTACTTGCAATTGCAATTATATTGATTTTTACCAATGTAATTAATTACTCTCAATTACTTTGAAGAATGTAGTTAAATACATTTCAATTACTTTTGTTTCCTTTACAAAAATCTTTAGGAACAAATACATCTAAATTTAAGGATATCCGATCCTTAGATAGGAACAATTACTCTTAAATTTATTATTTGATTAAAAAAATTTAAAATGAAGCTTGAAATTGAAATATTTTTTTGCAACAATTTTCATTTTATGCATCTCAATATGATTTAAGGTTCTTATGAGTCTTAGAAAGGATATTTTAAAAAAGTTGACAATGTACCCCACAAAAGTACAAAAATAAATACATTTTTTGAGAAATCACATTCCCTCTAATTTAGCATTGGACCCCAGTGCTTATAGCATGATATGAAATTAAAAGTGATCTGGGATGTCTTGCAAACTTTTTACACTATGTATTTTATAACAATTGAAGTAAATAGAAGAAATAAAATATTGTGTAAGTGTGCAAAACATGTAATTTTTCCAAATGCCTGGATACCTATAATTTTGAATCCAAAAATGTATTTGTTGATCAGTTTTCAATTAGAAAATCCATAGCTGAAAATATCTTTGAAATTTTGATAATTCTCCCTATATAATATGATTAACTTTATTGATGAACCTTGAAGAAATACCAAGGGTAAATATACGTTATTCTGTGAAACCCAAGATATTTTTGTGAGCATTTTCAAATACTGAAAAGCTGATTTTCAGAACTGAGGATCGGACTACCTTAAGAGGGGGGAACATCTAAAATAAATAATGTCAGGTGTCCGTCATGTTTGCGTGTTTCATCAACATAAGACCTAGTCCTACATGTACATTTATCAATTGATTGACTGCCTTTATGAGAGTTGATTAAAAGCAAGTTTTCAGGAGTTTATGAATCAATCATGAAATACTCTCAAATTATTTCAGTCACGGGTAGGCAAGCTAAACACCTTAAATTGCAAATGTTGACAAATAATACTTGTTTAATATAATAACTATTCCAGATACCAAATTCATACGTGTTTATAATTGAATTGAACATATTTTATTGACAAAGAGTCAAAAGGATTAGACACATGTTCAAAAACTTAGATAGTCTTCTCCTAATGTGTATATAAAGGTCTGTATAAATTTTAAAATATTGATTCAATATTTATTTATCTTCTGAAGTACCTGCATATAAATAGTAGAACATTCTTAATAGTATTTAGTAAATCACTTCTAATGGTCAAAACTTTGAATTTAAATAAAGCATGGTATAAAATTTTAGAGGGTTGTTTTGATTGCAATTTACAGCTGGGAGTTGAAGCGCCACAAGGCAAGTCTTAATGACACATTAGATTATTTTCTATTCTTTTTTTATAATCAAGCAACAAAAAATTGAAATGTTTATATACTCTTACAGTGTACTAACATGCGTATACCAATGAGAGGTAGAACTAAATTTATATCGAACATTAAACAAGCATTGATTCTTTATGTGCATTACGATCATAAAACAAACTAATATTTTTATAAACAACCCAATATATCAAATTCATTTATTGAGATATAAAAGAATTTAAGATTTTGAAAAAAAACAGGACTCCTTTGAATTAATTAAAATAACTGTAAAATGTGACTGTGTTGAAAATATTTTCCTATTAAATAAACATAATATACATTATCAATTTGTAAAGCAATTTAAATGTTAATGAAAAGTAATTGAAATTGCTGGGTTTTTTTTTCATTGTAATTAATTATATTCAATTACAAGTAACTGAAAAAAAAATGGTCAATTACAAATTATTTCCAATTAATTTGAAAAATGTAATTAATTACACTAAATTACATTTACTTTGAACAATTACCCTATCCCTGGTTTTATCTCGGACATTTTAGACATAAAATATAATAGAATGTCTGATGATTTAAAACAGAAAGCTATATATGATATGTGTAGATCACCAAAATCCATGTTACATAAGCATTTAGTTGACTATTTTTGTTTGCAAAGTTATTTAAGGAAACCTATTCATGTAAAATACAGGAAATCATGTACATGTTTTAGACTTTCAGCACATAATTTAAAGATAGAAACTGGTCAGGGGTAAAAGGAAATGTGATTTTTGTAATTTGAATGATATTGAAGATGAATTTCATTTTTATTCATTTGTCCATTTTTTTTTTATAATTTAAGAGACAAGTTTATCAAACCGCACTACTCCCGAAGACCAAGTGTCTTTAAACTAATACAACTATTTTGTTTTGTAGTACAAATTGTGAAGATGTAAATCAGTCAGGGAAATATATATATATATATATATATATATATGACATATGGCTTTAGGAGACCAAGGAGGATATATTTTCTGGCTTAGGGAGACCACTGGATTAAGGCGACCTTTTTCGGTCTCCCTATTATTTTGACCTCATCAGTATTGCAAATGTCTTTTTATAGATAAATAAACAGTCTGCCATTAAATATTATTAATCTTTAACTCTGTTATTTAACATTCAAAAGTTGTCTAATTTCTATCATCTTCCCTAAAAAAGAAAAGAATTTATAACCTACGTATAATTTCAAAGGATAATTTTTCTGCATTTTGGAGACCATGAAAAACATGCAATTAAACAAAAAATCTAGCATATATATTTTTTCCGCTTTTGATTTGTTCAAATGAGTGTTTCTTTAACTTAGTTTTCCATGTTTTATGTTAAAAACCTAAAAAGGAAAAATATTGTAAATTTATGAACCATGTTTTGAATTCTTAGCAAGTGCTTTCCGTCATTTGTTCCGAATGCCATCGGAATGCCCCTTCAGTTTTCAGAAAATGACCTCTGAACACCATGGATGTTGAGAAATTTGGGTAAGTAACTAAAATGATACAGTAATAAGTTGTAATTAAGAATACACAAGACAAACATTCGTTTGGGTTTTTTGTTGTTGTTTTTTTTTTTTTTTTTTTTGCCTAGTAATTTAGCTTTCAAGAGAAAAAGTATGATTTTAAATAATCGTTAGACTATAGTTCGGTATATAAAATCCTGAAGGAAATTCGAAATAAAGTTAAATGATAGGCCCCTATATTTTTTTAATTCTTTTATGCAAGTCCACAAACAAATTAAATATTTAAAGATTAGGCCGAACGTTGAAAAAATAGTCTTGCAAGTTGACGCAGCTATTTCGAGCTTAAAAATTTAAATTAAACTTTCTGTAAACATCATGCAGGACATGTTCATCATGATATAGTATAAATGAAACAGACCCTGTAAGAAAAAAATAGCTGTAATTTAATAATTGTTTATTAATATAATGTGGTCCTCTGCTAATAGAATATATATGCTGTAAAAAAAATCTGAATCAGGGTGAAGCAGATTTGATACAATACATGGCTGAAGGAAGGGGGGGGGGGCAGGCCCCCTGTAATTTTGCTGAAATTTAGGTATACTATAGAAAACATTGCTCCTTTATGCTTGGGCCCCCTCAATAATAACCTCTGATGATCTATTTTTCTTTTGCTTTTGGGCCCCCTCAATAATAACCTCTGATAATGTATTTTTCTTTTGCTTATTAAAATTTTTTTTGGTTTGTAGCCTCCCCCAACCTGAAACTGAAAAAATGTTGTTTGGTTGTGCTCACCCCCCCCCCAACTAAATTACGTACGGGCCTATTCTCCATCCCTGAGGTTTTCTTTCACCAAAGAAAGATGAATTGGTAACAGTTCAGATATATATAGCAATATTTACGGAAGGGAATATTCTCGTTTAATTATGAAGATGTGACAGTAACTCAGTCAAAGCCACAGTGAGTGTAACATTTATTTAATATTATTGTTAATGTTTACAAATAGTGAAATACTGATACTGTGAAATTTTAATGGATATATAGAAAATATAAAAGTACAAACATTTATTGTAAATCACATACATGAAAAGCTTCTTTTTTTAAGCAATTGAAAATTCTTCATTTTTCATGAAATTATTTTATTTCGTATGTATGATAATTTATTTCGTATTTTAATTCTGTCAACAAATCATTGTCGCAGCCTAGTTCCCTTCATTATTTTCAGCAGTTCAGTGACAGAGATAAAATAATCATTTGAGGTTTATATCCCCCCCCCTCCCCACCAAATGAAACTGAAAAATGTTTGGTTTTGGTCCCCTTCAACTGAAATTGATTCCTACTTACCATGCTTACAGGCTTAACTATGAAGATGTGACAGGGAGTGTAATAACAATAATTTTTCAGACGGATACATATTAAGCTGATATACGTATAAAATTTTAATGGATAGATAGAAATTAATAAACAATTACAACCATTTATGATAAACTACATAAAGATAATTTTTCAAGCAATTTGAAATTCTTCATTTTTTATGATAATATTTTATTTCGTATATATGTTTATAGGTTTATTCGTATCAACAAATCTGTGTACGAGTTAATAACGCAGCCTGGTTCCCTGCATTTTCAGTGAACCACAGAGAACCAGAATAAGATTGTAGGGAAACAAGCCTTGTTACAAGGTTTGAGGTTTGTTTATTTTATATTTTAATTTACACTTTTAAAAATTATTATTATTATGCAAAAATCTGTGTGCAGATGAATATTTACATTTTAATGTTATAAGTCGTTTTGTGGTTCATATTTGCGGTGACTGTCCCACGTGTGTTTACCTGTTTACATTCACCTACTGACCTAGAGTCTTCAAAATATACCTTCTGTAATCATGACTGTTGTAATCTTGTTTTTATGTTAGTTTACCATATGTAACTTGACTGTTGTATAGATTTATAGCGATCACTGCAAGCTTTTAATATTTAGGTGAAGAGAAATTTCAGACTATCAATCACAGGCACTTGTTTCATATACGGTGCACCCCTACTTATTTTTACCACAAGGTATCTAACTCAATTTCAGGCACCCCCGCTTCAAGCTCGTATTTTGTTCATGTATCATTATCAATCATTAACCTACTTTAAAATGACATCGTTCGCTTCAAGAGACTTTTTTCTTGTCAAATAAATCGTTTCAGACATCTCTGGTCGAGTCTCTTTATTGTAAAGCACTCATTTATTCCACGAAAATTACCTCGATACATTTTAAGACTTTAGATTGGATACAACTTCCAGTTGGGGGTAGAATAAAACCAGAGACTTCAGAGTATTCCAATCCGAGGTCTCTGGTTTTATCCTTCATTTATAACCCCAACCACATTTTTGTATCGAAAATTACCTTGATACATTTTAAGACTTTAGATGGGATACAAATTTCATTTTTTTCACAGGTCACGAGGTTTCAACTTAAAAAATTAAAATTCTCACTGTTAAGATATGTTGGAAATTTTAGCTTGATGTGTTGATAATTTGCCAAATTATTATGTAATAAAGGGGACTTTATATGATCACCCGGCGCTGTTGCTTTAGTTCAGTCTTCACAACAATTCTTTTTCAGCACATGCCCTTCGGGCATGTAGACCTATCATTTTTACCCAGCCCATTCAAATTTGTACATGTCCTACTCAAAATTCTTACATTTACCAGTATTGTGCAACAAAAAAAACCCATTAGGTATAAAGGTTTTATATTAATTTTTTCAGCGTCGTAAACCAACCATGGCCTGTGATTGCCATTTTCTAAAGCGTTTTTGTTCATAAATAACTTTTGAGTTGCATGCTGGTCATTTGTTGGCCGGTTTAGCTGAACTGAATTTCAGAAATGGGTTCATGACTGTAGTGCCACAGTATGTGGCATGGATGAACATCTCGTAATTTAGCAAGCAACTTCGAGAAAACAAATAGGTTTAACTAAACACTTCAATGATTAGATTGACAATCATTTGACAGGTCGTATCGAGAATGTAGACAGGCAATCCATCGACATTACATATAGCAACGTTTAAGCGAATAATGGGGGTAGGACAGAGTAAATGGCAAGTAAAGATCGTACAATGAAAGAAGATTCACATATGCCCTCTTCGGACATGTAATTTGGCAATTTTTACAAGCCCGGCTGCAAATTTAACAGGTCCCTGGCATTGGACTCCCGGGTTATTTGGAAGACTGTTAGTTTAGTTTCATGAGGTCCGACAACATTGATTCTCAATGTCTGCTCCCTCTACCCCATACACTTATCTTGATAAAATTACATAAATTATATTATTAATTATATAAATTGATATAAATTATATAAACCGGTCTTGTTTATATAATTTTACAATGTCATAAACAGCTGCTTAAGTGCATATAATATTGTACTAAATGGATTTATATATAGGATTAGGGAAAGATCCTCACTTGATTATGGCAGCATATTTAGCCCGTAGGAGTTTATTATCTACCACACATGATCAATGTCACTTTTGGATGTGAATGACTTTTGACACCCTAACTTCAGTTCAAATCAACGTTAACTTTATGTGACGTCTCTCTGAATCTTTTTTGGCATGTAACTTGGGTAAAAACAATTAAGTACTCTTGATGCATTTGATTTCTCTTAGCCCGTTTAAACATATCCAAGGTCTATACCAGTTTTTGCAGGGGCGAAACTATGTAGAAGTTGGAGAAACCCATCCCCTTTTTGACGTATTTGGTTTTCGAGGGGTGAAAATTTTCAATATTACACTCAACTACATGCAATATTTATTATATTATACTGAATGTTTTATACAAATACAAATAATAGTGAACTTTGAGCACATAAATCTGCGCAGTCACTTTTTTTTGGAATATCACCCGTCGTCAAGCAATGTTGACTGTTGTGACACTGGGCGTGGCTTCATTATTCAGCGGATAATAGTGCTTTTTAACAAATGTTTCTTGACGAATCAGATTAATTCATCTAATATACCTGAAAGTACAATATTAATTAATTGTCATCATTTTCCTATATTAGCATTTTTACTGGTAATGGTTTTGAAATGATAGGAACATGCACTGTTCAAAAAGTCTTAAAATTTTGTTTTGGCTCAATTTCTTTGTTAAATTACTGTGTTGAACTAAGGCAGGTCAATTAAAGTAACATGATCCTATAGATTCCATGTACATTTAGTACTGTAAAGTAGACAAATTTATTGTTCTCACAAGTAGTTCTCAAACATTGATTTAAGTTGGTCTCCTGAAGGATGTAATAATGCAATTGGTCTGCTTAAGGTATAGTGTATAATATAGACATGCATATTTTATTTTGAATTTGTATTATGTCAATCATTAGAAATATATGGATCTTAATTAAAAAACATTGTTTTCATTAGAATTTAAGATATGTATAATAGGCATATATTCTTCATGCTTTTCCATAGTTAAGTCCTTTTTTACAGGGTCTCTGCTAGTATCATGTGGACCCCAGTGTAACAAATCTATGGAAAGAGAGAAAATCTCAGCTCAAGGGTCAACATGTCTTTATTCCAAGAAAGGTAAATTGATAATTTTTTCTGCTAAAATACTCTTTTATAAAATTATAATATCAATGCAAAAGAGTGAACTTTCAATGTACCTAACAACATTTTGAAAATGAAAGTGCAATAACAGTTAATAATTATGATCAATCGAATGAATGTTAATAATCCAATCAAAGTCCTTGTTGTATATCATTTTTGCTAGGGCTGTGTATTGAGCAAAAAAAAAAAAAAAAAAGAAAGACATTTTTTAATGCGATATGCAATCGCCATTTTCACAGTATTTGTGCTAATTGTGTTGCACTTGGACCAAAAAATAAAAAGTAATACAGCACATTATTGACATGTTTTCTAGAAAGTACAATACCTCTGCATGCGAGTCCCAAATTTTTTTTATATAAGCATTCTTATGAAAAAAGTTATGCGAAGTCAAATTTTGGGTGAGGTCTTGTGTTGCGGACACTACATTACACCTGTTATATCTAAAATAAAATATTAAAGATATTTATTTATTCCAAACTTCTTGCAGGTTTTGATTATGTATCTGATTGCAGTGAAATAAAAGAAAAATGTTATGGTTCTCTTTGAAAACAAAAATTTTATTCACATTAATGACTTGCTAATTTTCTTGCATAATTTATCTCCCATCCTTACATTTATCTACCTTTACAATTACACATAAGACCTATACAATTATCATCTGAAAATTAAATTGAATGATTCTAAATTTCAAATACATTTGTCATAACATCCTGGATATCTTTGTTTGCATCTTGTCTAGCTTTGAAAATGCATGGCATTTTTGTTGTGGACACCTACCTTTACAATTACACATAAGACCTATACAATTATCATCTGAAAATTAAATTGAATGATTCTAAATTTCAAATACATTTGTCATAACATCCTGGATATCTTTGTTTGCATCTTGTCTAGCTTTGAAAATGCATGGCATTTTTGTTGTGGACACTACAAGTAACCATAAGAATAATCTTTTGTCATTTTTAATAAAATAATTGTTGATAAATGTTCATTTCTAGGCTGAATTACATACCACAAGATCAACTCTTGAAAATGGACAATATTAAAAGATGTAGAATGTGGTTTATTGAGATGAAAATAACCACATAACAAGGACTACTAAATATTTCTTGATGTATAATTGTTATGCAGTTTAAAAAAATGTCTATGATTTCACTTATGTTAATACAATTCAAAAAGTTATAACAAATAGTTTTATAGATAAATTCAATGAATTAAAGAATTTTCTGAGGTATCTATAAATTTTTTTCAGCATTGAAATTGTTGCGGACACTACAATATATTGAAATATTGCTAAATGACACCATATTTGGTTTGAATGGAGTAAACTAAACATCTTAATCTCAAACTAGTTCTATATGTACGGTAAATGGTATTATATTATAGGGAAATAAAAAAGGCTAGTCAAAAATGGTATTTTGGCCTAGAAAATAAAACCCATATATACTAGTAAGTTTGAAGTGTTATCTTGTACAAAAATCACCATTTGTTATCTTAATCCAGTTAACAAACTTTATTATCAAAGGAGCTAAATATCAGAGAAGTGTTTCACATTTCAGAAATATTTAATGAAATAAAAAGTGAAAATAATACATGAATGTGTTATATAGTTATTAAAGTAGTGTCCGCAACACAACTGCATTAGTTAGAACTAGACTTATTAATTAACAATTAACATATTGATATATTCTTAAGTTTCCTCTTATTCAGTTTTAAATACCACATGAAAATTGACTTCCAATATATAACATAAGACTGACAATTGAAAGATTTTGAATAATATGTATAAACAAGTCGTTATGGGTGTTGTTCAAAGTCTGAAGTTATAGTTCCATTAAGTTTTGTAATCTTACATGTTTGTATTGAATATTTGGATAATTATAGTGATGATCAGTTGAAATCATGTTACATTTCCTTGAAAAAAACTTTGAATTAAAAAAAGCTGTTGCGGACTCTACAGCGTTGCGGACTCTACAAAACACAATATATCTGCAAGAATTCCAAGCAACACTGAGTTAAAGTCTGATATTTTTTGGTAGATAGATTAGTAGCTGCACTGGCTTTTTACATGTAAAATAAAAGAAATATAATTCATAAAGCATTCCAAAATAAGCACATGTTGCGGACACTACAGAATTTTTGGGACATTTTTATGCCAGTAGGAAGAAAATGTGTCATTTTCTAAAGTTTCGAAGAATCCACTCAAACTTTTCTATACTGTTTCATTTATCATGTAACTCTATTTTTAAAAAGAACCTAAAGTAATAGTAATGCATTAACATATTTTTTTTATAATTGCAAGTTCAAACAGTAGAATTACATAAAATTTCATAACGTATCTGCATTTTCACATATTTCAACATAATTTCGCTAATATTTTGTTGATTTACATAAAGTAAATTGCATATAAAAGAGGGATAATTTCACAATGATTTGGCATCTATCACTAAGAGTTTCTATTGTAAATCTCCTGAAACAAAAACTGGATAACAAAGCCTTTTTTCAGCTGCAACAGCATAACACATAATTTACCCCATATTTTCAGTAGTAAAACTTCAATATTTTTATTGTATAGAACATGGGAGTGTTGTATATCATTTAACTTGTTAGGGGTACCATTTGGTCATAATTTGGTCATAATTGTTAAGGGTTTAATCATATATTTTGATGCAGAGTGCATTATAACATTAGTGAGTATGAAAAATCACAAATACTGTGAAAATGGCGCTTATATTGAATTCTTTAACAATTCTATCAAAAAAGTCTTATGAATCATTATGCATGAATTTTATAAAAATAATAATTGTTTTTTTCTCATTTTTAATTTTTTGTCTCACCGTCTTTAAAAATTACACTTCAAATTCAAACTTTTCTTGACTGTAAAATCAACATGTTAAGTAAAGTTGTCTATGTATTTTTATGATTTTGTAATAATCATTTAAGATGTGCTACCTCCTTAATGATTATATCATTTTTGATCAGTTTTAATTCAAAACAATTACCGGTAAATATAATCTTTGGTGATTGAAATTCCCAAGTTTTTCACAGAATTACATAAAAAAAACTGCCTGCCCAAAATGTATTGGAATTAAGTTATTTTTAGCTCACCTGAGCCAAAGGCTCAAGTGAGCTTTTCTGATCAAAATTTGTCTGTTGTCTGTCGTCGTTGTCGTAAACTTTTCACATTTTCATCTTCTTCTCAAGAACCACTGGGCCAATTTCAACCAAACTTGTCAAAAAGCATCCTTGGGTAAAGGGGATTCAAGTTTGTTCAAATGAAGGGCCACACCCTCTTTCAAGGGGAGATAATTAAGAATTAGTTAAAATTTAGTGGTATCTTTTAAAAATCTTCTTCTCAAGAACCACTGGGCTGTAAAAGTTGAAACTTAGGTGAGACCTTCATTACATAGTGTAGATTCAAGTTTGTTCAAATCATGACCCCCTGGGGTAGGGTGGAGCCACAATGGGGGATCAAAGTTTTACATAGGAATATATAGGAATAAATCTTTAAAAATTTTCTTCTCAAGAACAACAAAGCCACGATTAGTCATATTGATATGGAATCATCCTCAGGTAGTGTAGATTCAAGTTTGTTCAAATCATGACCCCTCGGGGTAGGGTGGGGCCACAAGGGGCGATCAAAGTTTTACATAGGAATATACAGAAAAAAAAATTGAAAAATCTTCTTCTCAAGAACAGCAAAGCCTTGTTAAGTCATATTGATATGGAAGCATTCTCAGATAGTGTAGATTTAACTTTGTTCAAATCATGACCCCCAGGGTTAGGGTGGTGCCACAATTGAGGATCAAAAACTTCAAAAATCTTCTTCTCAAGAACAGCAAAGTCATGTTTTGTCATACTGATATGGAAGCTTCCTCAGGTAGTGTAGATTCAAGTTTTTTCAAATCATGACCCCTGGGGGGTAGGGTGGGGCCACAATGGGGGATCATAGTTTTACATAAGAATATATAGGGAAAAAAAACTTGAAAAATCTTCTTCTCAGGAACAGCAAAGCCATGTTTTGTCATATTGATATGGAAGCTTCCTCAGGTAGTGTAGATTCAAGTTTGTTCAAATCATGACCCCTGGGGGTAGGGTGGGACCACAATGGGGGATCATAGTTTTCCATAGGAATACATAGGAAAAAACTTCAAAAATTTTCTTCTCAAGAACAGCAAAGTCATGTTTTGTCATACTGATATGGAAGCATCTTCAGGTAGTGTAGATTCAAGTTTGTTCAAATCATAAACCCCAGGGGTAGGGTGGGGCCACAATGTGGGATCAAATTTTTACCTAGGAATATATAGGAAAAAATCTTTTCATCAACGGAAAAGCCATGTTTAGTCATATTGATATGGAAGCATCCTCAGGTAGTATAGATTCAAGTTTGTTCAAATGATGGAAGGGGGGGGGGGGGGTTAGGGAGGGTCCACAATGGGGGATCAAATTTTTAACAAGGGAATATATAGGAAAAAAATCTTTAAAAATCTTCTGCTCAAGAACAGTAAAGCCATTTGTAATATTGATATGGAAGCATCCTCAGGTAGTTCAAAATCCAAGCCCCCTCCCCTTTAAACTTTTCAATACTGAAGTGATTTGTGCTTTTTCCTAGCCAATGTGCTCAGGTGAGCGTTGTGGCCCATGGGCCTCTTGTTTTTGATACGATATATTCATTAATCTAGATACGTATCGATATACAGGTAAACTTCGGTATCTCGAACACCGGTATGTCGAATACCACGGATATCTCGAAGTGAATCAACGGTCCCAGCCGTTTTTATTATATTTATGATTTTAAAAAAAACCCAGTATCTCGAACATGGAAATCTCAAATACCTCGCTTATCTTGAAGTAGATTTACGGTCCCAAGTGCTATAAACACATGCGTTATCTCGAAGTCCAACAAATTCTCGCTCCACTGAATTCACACCTTAGTACACAATAATCCCATTATGCTAATTTTACGGTCTGTTGAACGTTTCCGTTAGGTCTAGCACAGGCTTCATGGGACCATTACTGATAATCACACCTTATTAGTCCCAAGCTGTTGTTTTTGGTAGTTAAATTTAATTACGCAGGCCAGGTGATTTGGAGGTGTTAATAAAATGCACTCTCAGAGATACTATGACACGATAATGAAACAGCAGCTTGGGGACGATTACTGTACTAGAAATTTAAATTATCGAAAATACACGCTTATACACATCATTACATATCAAAGTAAACACTGAACACATCAAAGTGATATTGACCTCAAGAAATTAAACAATTAAAGACATTATTTTGAGTATAAAAGTCAGTACCAAAAATCAAATCTTCAGTAAATATCATGTCCGATAAGGCAGTCTAACGAAGGACCCGGTAGCCAACCAGGGGGGATAGTTAGATTATCTGACTGTAGTGGAAAAAGAAAACTTAAAGTTCATACAATCGAAACAAAGTTTGCTTTTGTTTATTCATATTGGCAATTTCAATAAATTATTGTAGAACGATAATTCCTGTTGTTACATTTAGGCATGTGGGTATATGTACATATCCTGTTAAAGTCTTTGTGTATCACATTATATCATGATATACTTCAGACAAATTAGTACACCTGTAGTTTTGAATACAATTCATACATTGATTTCTTTTGCCACAATGGTCTCTTTAATATTGCAATAATGCATTTGGTCTTCCTAATGCATGTATAATGCAGGTACTGTATATATTCTATGTCCAGCTTATAGGTGAGTCATAAAAAGATTAGTATTTTGAAACCAGGTTAAAACATCAGAGCATTGATTTGAAATTGTCAATTGATTCTGGCAAAAAGTTGTACCAATTTATAAGCGGGTCAATAGCAAATCCCTCCAAAATAACCTCAAAAAATACAACTGACTTATAGGTGGACCACCTTATAGGCAAGTATATATACGGTATAGTTTTTGTTGAATTTTGCTAACAGCAAAACACTATGAATAATGAATTTTGGAAAAAAAAGATTATTAAGTTTAATGATGCATGTATGTAGTATAGAAATATTGTTCATATGCCTGTACATGGTACAAATATGCATTTTACAGAGTGTACATATGCCAGAATCATATGGACCGCAGACTGGCCCTGGTGATTCCGTTAAAAAAAAAAGAGGAAAAATCAGTGCTTGTGCTCATTGGTCATTGGACAAAGGTAACTAGATTTATTTTATGAAACTAAACATGTAAATTACTAGGATATTAAAATATCACAATTAAAATACATGTACTGATTTATATATATATATGGATATCAGTTGGTCTCCTTGATGGAGTTAAATGCATTTGTTATCCCTTTTAAGTGGATCATTTAAATATTATGCAGTTTATTTAGAAGCTCTTTATTATCTGCACTCTTCACTTTTACAGGGTGAATGCCAGAATTTTTTCAAGAACAGTCTGAATCTGACATGGAAAAATGAAGAAAAACAGCCTTCCTGTTTATAAATCTACATTCTGACAAAGGGTAATTTTGTTTAGTTCAATTAGAAGTGCACATTTAATTTCAGTTGCTTTCCTTAATGATATATTATAGCATTTTTATTCCCTTATGAACAATATGTATACTTGTAAAGCATGTATCACAAAATCTTCTGCAAACAAAGTTTTGGGTGTAGAGTGTTTGTTGTTTAACGTCCCTCTGGAGAATTTTTCACTCATATGGAGACGCCACCACTTGTCAGTGGAGAGCTGCAAATTTTTGTCCTATACTCAGCACTTACGGCCATTGAGCATTGAGGGATCTTTATCGAGCCAGCACCTACTGTGACATGGGACCTCGGTTAATACCTCTGTCTCATCTGAAGAACGGGTCTCCACGTCCCACAGTGGGATTCAAACTCGCGATGTAAGGATCAGCTTCTTTCTCCGCAACTCTAGAGTAGACGCTCTAACCACTGCATCTGCTCTACTTTGGCAACTTTGGGAGTATATAAGCATAGGAATCATCATGTCCATCTGTCTGTTCATGTGTTTGGCCACTTTTATGATTAGTTTTTTTGTTCCAATTCTGGCTGAGATAAATTGATTTAGGTCATCTAAATACAAACAAATTAAGGGAAATTACTATGGTATTGGAATGAACTTTTTGGAATACTGTCTAATTGTTCCATTGTAGTTGGTTTCTTTAATGTTGAAGTAATGCATCTGGTCTTCCTAATGCATGGCATACACTGTATGCATGTGTAATGTTAAAGTTGGCTGAATGTAAAACAGTTCTTGCGTTATGACAAAGGTAAATAGATTTAGTTCATGTAACTAAACATGTAAATTATTAGGGTATTAAAATCTCAAGTTTTGAATACTGATTTACATGTGGAGAGTAGTTGGTCTCCTTAATGCAGTAATAATACATTTGGTCTCCCTTATGCATACTGTATATTATATAAAGGGGGAGTTTCGATAAGGTCGCTCAGCGGCCCACTTTTTTTCATAAAAATAAATTTCAATTTATTTTTTCAAAACTAGTTAAGAATTCAAGAAAAATATATTAACTTTTGTTATTTACATTTCAGAGGTTAATATGAGATGAATTCACAACGTAGCTGATACATACTTAGATGTACCCTCAGATCCGTTAACATTAGGCTTATGGGAAAATATAAGAGGGTGGCATTTAAAAATCGATGTTTAGAATATGAAGTGCATGAGGGACACTCACCTAATTTTTTTCAGTAATTAGATATACTCTGCACACTAATTTCTTGAAATATGATGAGTGTCGCGTGTGCACTTCATATCCAAAAAAATGAAAATTGCATAAAATTTGCATATCTAAAATTAGAAGCTCCTGGTTTCTTGATCTGACTCTGTGTTAAAATACTAGGCCAAAAGTAGCATTTTTTTTTAAATCAAAGAAGATTCTCGATTATATTAACAGTAGAAAACATTATCGTATCCTATCTTCATTTCGACAGTTTTTTTTGTCGCCAACGTATAACGTTAACGTCACATTTTTAGCTCACCTCCTTGAAGTTGGGGGAGCTTTCGTAATACCGTCGGCATCGGTGTTTCAGGTAAAAGTATTTGAAGCAGATTTTTTTTTTCAAGTATATCTATGCCCTATATTAATCAGAGTCACATGATCCAGCGTGTTTCCTTGTCACCAGTCAGGTTTCAGATGCTGGATTTTTAGTCAAAGAATGTCCAAGTAAATGTTTTAAAAGCAGGTTTAAGTTTTTGGAGCAGAGCAGCTGAAAGCACTTGTTGACCAGACTTGCTTTATGATGCACACTACTATATTGCTTCAGATGCTGGATATGACCTACATTTCATTAATAAGTGAGCAGGTTAAAGATTTTGAAGCTGGTCTCATTTTTATATAACTATAAGCCCCATTGTGACCAAACTTGCATTGATGATGCATCTAGGATTGCACATTACCAGACATGGTTCAGATGCTGCATCTTTCTTACATTTTCCTACTGACTGAACAAAAAATAAGTTTTCGAGCAAGTCCATTCCTTAACGTTATTCATCATGCATAGTTATATTTTTGACTTTCTTGTAAATAGAAATCCACGCTCCGACATGCTAGAGAGGCGCCCATGTATTTATGTGTGGTTGATATAGGAAACGTGGCTTGTTTTAAGTCTGGATGTCTAGGGGCATATGTCTGCTTGATTACGGATTAAACACATATCTTTGGCGTTTTCACATGCATTTCGAACTGCGCTCTGTTCTAGCAAATCATATATAATGAATTCTAGAACTCTCTAAATGAGAAGTGACTAGAAATGGTGTAAAAACTTAAGTATCTCTAGAGATTTGAGAAGCGAGAGGAAATAAGTCCTGGCTGGGATTCTCTCAGTTACGCTGAAAACATAATGCAGATCTATGTGGGCAAATACTTATAAGTTTCATAATGAGAAGGAAAATTTAATGCATTATAGATTTTTCCATCATATTACGTATCATGATAAAATACTTTTGACTGTAATCAATATCATTCATATTATCAAATATATTGCAGAAGCCAGTAGGTGCAAGGTAAAAAAATATGTTATCTGTCAGCCGCCAGATAAGTTTCTGCCATTGAAATATCTGGCGGCCGCCAGATAAAATTGTAGTGTTTTTGCCAATCAAATTGTAGCACCCAATGATATACCTCAATGCACTTGATTGACAGAGGTACACAGACCAGGTATTTTCGAAGGCGGTGCTTAAAATCTCTGCCTTTAAGGAGGCTGGGGGGTCAACAAATTAACCATCAGATATAACTTAATTTTTTAGATATGATATCTTAAGCTGTCAACTATTATTTGGCAAAGAAAAATTTCATACATTTTTGTTTTAAAATTTGATCATTTTTGTATATCTTTATATGGAGCTCTTCTTCTGAAGGAGATCAATATAGTCTGAAAATGGCCACAACCCCCCAGCCATCTTAACGACATCTACAACTTCTCTTTGAAGTCAAATCTTGGAGTTTCATGCCTTATTAGCAAAGACAAAATCTACACTTCATACAAAAATTCACTTCATAAGGTTTTCACCTCATAACTTTAGATTTATGTTTTATTAGATTACATGTCTACACCGCAAGGAACTTATTTGTCGGATTCTAGTTATTTATGTTGCGGCCAACAGATAAGTTTCTGGTCGCTGCCAGTCATTTATGTGGTGGCCGCAGGAAAACTATTTGGCCGCCGCCAATTTTTCTAGCGGCCGCCGAATAATTATGTGGCGAACGCCAGATAAAATATTTTTCTTACCTTGCACCTACAATGTACTGGCTTACCTAGCAATATGATGCTTTTAAGTAAACTTTTTATTCATGTATGTATTTAAAATATTTTTTAATCTTTTTATTTCAAAACATGTTATTTAATTTCAATTTTATGATACTAAGGTATATTTTTATAAAACATGTAGTTGTATAACCTTATTGATGAAAATGTATTGCATATACCTGTATATGACGTTTTTGCATTCACCTATCTCATGTCTACATATCTTTTCATTTGCATTTTTCATATGGGAAAATGTTAAATATTGATTATATAGTTTATGTATAAATTGTCGATTAATTATGATGTTAAATCTTTCTATATATTTTACGTTTCATAAGTTAAATCCATCCTCTTTTAAAGAAAAGTAACATTTGACACACCAGAAAAATATCGCACCTTAAAAAAACATTCGCATAAGATAAACACCATTTTCCGTAAAAAAATTGTTGAGAATTGGTTAATTTATGTCTTTATTCATATTTATCCTATTTCATTTACGATTTTGACGGTTAAAAAATCCACTTTCCCCCTATGAAAATGTCTACTCCCAAAATATACGAAATGGGGGTATACTTAAATTTTCAATTATCACGTGACCGGAAAATGCGTAACATAAATTATTTTCATATTTTTAGGAAGTTTAGAAGTTTTTCTACAAAATATCAAAATTTCATAAAATTTCGTGAGGGGCCGAAAAACGGCCTTATCGAAACTCCCCCTTTAATGACTGACATGTACGAGGGTTGATCCAAAAGTTCATGGAATTTCTTCATATTTTATTTATTTATTAGTGAAAGTGGTTGAATACTGATTTACATGTGGATAGTAGTTGGTCTCCTTAATGCAGTAATAATACATTTGGTCTCCCTTATGCATACTGTATATTATATAAATTTAATGACTGACATGTACGAGGGTTGATCCAAAAGTTCGTGGAATTTCTTCTAGTGTTGTACCGATAATCAGAAAACATCGATTGTCGACAAAAAAAATGCTACTGATTCCGATGATCGATTATAGTTTTTCATAATCGATCATCGGAAACATACTTCTAATACAATACATTCCGGAATTATCCATTTCTGGTTTAAAATTTATTTCTTCTTAATGAAAGAAAATGGCATCTGCATCTGATACTAGCCAACTAGCACGAAGCAGAGGTGATTAAGAACCGAAGATGCATATATAGGGCCTAAAAAAAATTATTTTTGTTTCCTGTAATAACTCGACCGACCCATTCAATTTACCCCCGGGTGAATTTTTTTTCTGCCAAATCTGTGTTTGCTCTTTGGTTTGATCAATCAGCTGATTCTTTTTATTCAAAAAATATTAATTGTATCTTTTATTTGAGATATAAAATATGCAACTTAGTCAACATTTACCTTAAATATAGAGTGATCAATTCCCCCCACAGCTTTTTGAAGTTCGTTTTCTGCCGCTAGGCAGCCATGTTGGGTGTCCACTGTAAATATTTTTAGGTCTAGAAAGTGTAAAAGAAGCAAAACAACAAAGAAAATAATATATTATGTATTTTATATATTCATGTTAAAGAAATAAATGAAATTATTGTAATAGTCTGCTTTTTGTATACAAAACTATGAAGAAATCCGATTATAATCGGTGAAATCGCATCAGAAGCAGTAACCAATTCCAACCGATGATCAATTATGAAAATTAACCGATGTCTCATCACTAATTTCTTCATATTTTTTTTTATTTATTAGTGAAAGCAGTT